AAAATACCATGGCTTGGGTTAAGGCACACCTTGGTCTTCAAGGAGACATCTTTGCTCTTCAGCACTTGAAAGAGGTCTTTTGCAGCAGATTAGCCCAGTGCTATCCGTCATCTGATGTCCTGACTGCTGCTTCCATTGGTGTTGATTGTAGAGGCAAGTACTGTGAAGTCCTTGACAAGTTCAATCTTTTCTCCATTCTTCGTGAAGCTGTTTATTGGACCAGTTGTGAGGATTTTTGTTTTCTTTATATTGAAGTGTAATCCATACTGCAGACTATAGTCTTTAATCTTCATACGTAAGTGCTTCAAGTCATCTTCACTTTCAGCAAGCAAAGCTGTGTCATCTGCGTATCACAGGTTGTTAACAACTCTTCCTCCAATCTTGATGCCTCATTCTTCTTCATATAATCCAGCTGCTTGGATTATTTGCTTAGCATATAAACTGAATAAGTATGCTAAAAGGATACAACTTCGACACACTCCCTTCTTGATTTTGAAACATGCAGTATCCCCTTGTTCTGTTTGAACAATAGATCTATGTACAGGTTTCTCATGAGTACAATTAAGTGTTCTGGAATTCCCATTCTTCTGATTGGTATCCATAATCTGCTGTGATCCACACAATCGAATGCTTTTGCATAGTCAATAAAACATAAGTAAGCATCTTTCTGGTATTCTTTGCTTTCAGCTAAGATCCATCTGACATCAGCAATGATATCCCTCATTCCATGTCCTCTTCTGAATCCAGCTTGCACTTCTGGAAGCTCTCTATCAATATACTGCTGCAACTGTTTTTGAATTATCTTTAGCAAGATTTTACCTTCATGTGATATTAATTATATTGTTTGATAATCTCCACATTCTGTGGGATCATCTTTCTTTGGAATGAGTATGAATATGGATCTCTTCTAGTCAGTTGGCCAGGTAGCTGTGTTCCAAATCTCTTGGCAAAGCTGAGTGAGTATCTCCAGTGGGGCATCTGTTTGTTCAAACATCTCAATGGGTATTCCATCAATTCCTTCAGTGAAGCTTCAACTTCTTCCTTTAATACCATTGTTTTTTGATAATATGCCATCTCCTGAAATGGATAAACACTGACCAATTCTTTTTGGTACAGTGACTGTGTAGTCCTTCCATTTTTGATGCTTCCTGCCTCATTCGATATTTTGCCCATAGAATCTTTCAATATCGCAACTTGACACTTAAATTTTTTCCTCAGTTCTTTAAGTTTGAGAAATGCCGAGTGTATTCTTGCTTTTGGTTTTCTAACTCCAGGTCTTTGCACATTTCATTATAGTAATTGGATGTGGAATCCTCCAATTCTGATAGACCCGTTTATTTTAAGCTCCAAGATATTTCAACATATTTACCCATACCACATTTTCCCAGAATAAAATCCCAAAACCTTACAATGGCTTATAAAGCCCTAAAAAATTTGCCCCCCATCCATCCCCACCTCCTTGATCTCTCTGACTTCATCTACTTCTTTTCTCCTTGTTCCTTATGTTCCAGCCAAACTGCCAGGATTTTCACTTTGCATTGGCTATTCCCTTTGTCTAGAATAACTCATCCCTAGATATTTACAGACATTTACAAGTTTAACTCTCTAATTCCTTCAAATCTCTGCTCAAGTATCGTCTTCTCAATAACACTTGTCCTGTTCACCCTTTTAAAAATGGTAACTCTCCTCACTAACAGCCCCTGGACTCTTGATCCCCCTTACCCTATATCTTGATAGCATTTTTGACCTTCTAACACACAGGTAATTTCTAGAAATGTGAACTGGATTCAGAAGAGGACATGGAACAAGGGATATCATTACTGATGTACCATGGGTCTTGGCTGAAAGCAAATAATACCAGAAAGATGTTTACTTCTGTTTTACTGACTATGCAAAAGCATCTGACTGTGTGGATCATAACAAATTATGGATAACATTGTAAAGAATGGGAATTCCAGAACACTTAATTGTACTCACAAGGAATCTGTACATAGACCAGGAGGCTGCCATTCAAACAGAACAAGGGGATATTTCATGGTTTAAAATCAGGAATGGTGTGTGTCAGGGTTGCATCCTTTCACCATACTTATTCAATCTGTATGCAAAGCAAATAATCTGAGAAGCTAGACTATATGAAGAAGAATGTGGCATTAGGATTGGAGCAAGACTCATTAACAACCTGTGATATGTAGGCGACACAACCTTGCTTGCTGAAAGTGAAGATGACTTGAAGCACTTACTGATGAAAATTAAAGACTATAGTCTATAATATGGATTACATCTCAACATAAAGAAAACAAAGACCTCACAATTGGACCAATAAGCAGCATCATTAAAAATGGAGAAAAGATTGAAATTGTCAAGAATTTCATATTACTTGGCTCCACAATAAACACCAATGGAAGCAGCAGTCAAGTAATCAGACATCCGTGTATTGCACTGGGAAAATCAGCTGCAAGACCTCTGTAAAGTGCTGAAGAGCAAAGATGGTTCTTTGAAGACTAAGGTGTACCTAAATCAAGCCAAGGTATTTTCAATCACTTCATCAAAGCTGGACAATGAATAAGGAAGACCAAAGAAGAGTTGATGCCTTTGAGTTGTGGTGTTGATGAATACTGAAAGTACCATGGACTCCCAGAAGAATGAACAAATCTGTCCCGGATGAAGAACAGCCAAAATGCCCTTTGGAAGCAAGAATGGTCAGACTTTGTCTCACCTACTTTGGTCACGTTGTCAGAAGGGACCATTCCCTGGAGAAGGATATCATACTTGGTAAAGTGGAGGGTCGGCGAAAAAGAAGACCCTGAACAAGATGGAATAATGCCGTGGCTGCAAGGATGGGCTCAGGTATAGCAAGGATTATGAGGATGATGCAGGACCAGGCAGTGTTTCATTCTGTTGTATGTAGGGTCTCTATGAGTCAGAGCTGACTGGACAGCACCTAACAGCAACAAACATAGTCAAAGGAGCTCTGGTGGCCCAGTGGTTAAAACAATCAACTGCTAACCAAAATGCTGGTAGTTTGAACACACCAGCTACTCCACAGGAGAAAAATGAGACACTCAGCTTCCCAAAGATTTACAGCCTTGGAAACCTTATAGGGAAGTTCTACTCTGTCATATAGTGTCATTATGAGTCAGGATTGACCAGATGGCAGTGGGTTTGGTTTGGTTTATTTCATATACAGTCAGTACTCCAACGGAGTTCTGCATCTGGGAATTCAACCAATAGTGGACCAAAAATATTGAGAAATTTGGGGACAAAATCTCTTAAAAAGCAATTAAGTGGTCAAAGCAATCCCTTAAAGGCATGCAGTGCTATTTACTATCATTTAAATTAAATTAGATCATGTCATGTGCATGTGAAAGCTGGATAATGAATAAGGAAGTCTGAAGAGGAACTGATGCTTTGAATTGTGGTATTAGCAAAGAATACTGAAAATATCATGGACTGCCAGAAGAATGAACTAATCTGACTTGGAAGAAGTACAACTGGAATGCTCCTTGGAAGAGAGAATGGACAGACTTTGTCTCACTTTCTTTGGTCATGTTGTCAGAAGGGACCTGGAGAAGGATTCATGCTTGGTAAAGTGGTCAGAGAAAAGGAGAAAGACCCTCAATGGGATGAACTGACATAATGGCTTCAACCATGGGCTCAAGCACAGCAAAGACTGTGAGGATGGCGCAGGACTTGGCAGTGTTTTGTTCTGTTATACACAGGGTCGCTATGAGCTGAAGCCAATTGCACAGCACCAAACAATAACAACAGGTATTATAAGTAATCTAGACATGATTTAAAGTATAAGGGAAGATATGTGTAAGATATATGCAAACACATTTTATACAAGGGACTTGACCAACCCTGGATTTTAGCATCTGCAGAGGTTCTGGGACTCAATCATCCTTGTCAAACACTGCACTATATAATTTGCTTATGTGTTATACCTATTGTCCATCTTTCATCTGTAATGTAAGCCTCTTTTTGATTCACTGCTGGTCCCCAGCATCCAGAGAAACACCTGGCACATTGTAGGTACACAGCAAATATTTTTAAAACAAGTAATGAACATTTGTGATAATCTGTTTGCTTACTGTTGAAGCAGCAACTGAAAAGCTCTTTGCTCATATGATATGTTTCAAAACTCAAACTTCCTTCTTAACGAGAGCCACACTGTTACCTAAAGATTAAAAAAAAAAAAAAAAATTAACTTAAAACTAGGGGGGAAAATAGCCAAATTCTCATTTCCCAACCTCCAACAAAAAGTTTGATTATTTCAAGGAAAAAATGTTGTTGTCGTATGCCGTGGAGTCGGACCGACTCACAGCGACCCCTCCTTGGGTTTCCCAGGCGGTATCACTACGGAAGTAGACTGCCCAATCTTCCTTCCGAGGAGTAAAATAATTTCACACACACATAAAAACCTGACTCACTCTAGACCAGCTTTGCTCAGAAAGCTGGCGTGTTTTTACTTCGCATTTTGAGACTCTGAGAGTCCGTTTCGTGAGCGTTTGGCCCCCTGTGGCCTCAGTGCAGACCTCCCTCTACCTGAGATGCTGCACGAGCAGCACTCGAAAGGTGCTGGACCTCCACCTCCGCGTCGCCGAGGCTGGGCCGGCTGCTAGCTTTTTCTGCGTGAACCTTCCGGGACACCACTGAGAGGGAGACACTACCACGCTCCCCCGCTCGGGGAGGGGCTTCGCGCGGCCCAACCACTGCCGGCGGAGGGGGGTAGGTGGGAGGTGCCTACCAAAGCCCTGCTCCTAATGCGAGGGCTCACTCTTATTTTGCCGGGCCCTTTCAGTCAGAAAGCCTTTCTCTTTCTTCTGTTCTTCTCGCGACCCAGAACAGCACTGTCCTCTCCTCCTTGTCCGTGTTTCCTCCGCGCCCTCCTCTTTCCTTGCGTGGTACGGTCCCGGCCTCTGGTCACGCGGCGGGGGCGTGGCCTGCTTCTGCTCTGGTGGTGTGCCTTCGGGAATCGGCGGGTGTCCCCTTGAAGCGGCGCTGGCATCTGGCACGATGCTGAGCCGGAGTCGCCGTCTGTTTGTCTTCCTGGCTGCCGCGGCCACCTGCGCTGTGGCGCAGCACGCGCCGCCGGTGAGTGAGCTCACACAGAGGTCGCGGAGAGGGGCGCGCAGGTGCAGTGGGGGACGCAGGTGCAGATGGGCGGGAAGGGAGGTGGGGAAACCTGGTTGCAAGCAGCATCTTTACGCGGATTTGTGGTTTGGTCCGCAGGGATGTGGCTGCAAAGCGGGCTGGTGATCTCCCCACTTCCCGCACCTGTGATTTGGTATAGGCTGAAACAAGAAAACCTTTCGGAGAATTCTAATCTCTGCAGAATGTCTGGGTGTGATTTGCACACCCTCAGTTTGAGTGATTGTACTTGTACCATCAGTTCCACGAACTCGGATCTTGAACTGTTTAGAGAAAAAGTTCCAGTAGACTTGTGTATATAGCTAGGCGGACTGCTTGGTGACATTGACGTTTTTTGCCCAATTAAGAGGTGCTTTATCCTGAAAAAGTCTTCACGGACCTACGCTGTCACCGCAGAATACTGGGAAAGGCCAAGGCAGCTGGGCAGTAGAAGCTGCCCAGAGCAAGCCCGTGGACTTGTTGTAGCCATTACCCTCCAGTCATGCGAACTCCGATCCCGTGGTTCCCCCCCACCCCCGCCTTCCGCAAGAGAAGTCACAGGACCCAAGACTTAGTAACTTCAAGATTTGTGAGGCATTGGTCTTTCGACACTCATATTATACAGAAGAGGAAGTTAATCTAGAGAGAGAAAATCTCTAGCCAGAGGCCACCCTCATTTGAAAACAAGCCTAATGTCATGCCTCTTGACACCTGGTCTGGGGCGCTTTCATAATTCTTTGCTTTAAAAGCATTGTTTCCGAGGCGGTATCACTACAGAAGTAGATTGCCCAACCTTCCTTCTGAGGAGTGGCTGGTGAGTTTGAACCGCCAGCCTTCTGGTTAGCAGTCAAATTGCTTAGACACTATGCTACCAGAGCTCCTTTAAAAGCATTAACACTTTATTTTTTACATCACCAGATCAGATAAATAGGAACCAGGGTGCATGTGATCTGAGGCTGAGTGAGGGTGATCAGAATAACTTAGGTAGGATATTAAGAGAGGAAGCTAGATTTCCTTCCTTTTATTCTATTTCTGTAAGGATGGCTTTAAGGATAAAATGGGGGAATATTATTCAGCTTAAAAATTTATATAATGTTAAGTAAAAAAATCTTTTTGGAAGGAAGATGGGGCAATCTACTTCCATAGTGATACTGCCTCGGAAACCCAAAGAGGGGTGGCTAAGAGGTCCAACTCCACTGCACATAACAACAAACAACAGCAAGTAAAAAAAAAAAAGAATACAAAAGAGTATGAGCAATGATATCAAGAATAGAAAAGACACACAGTACATACAAGTGGACAAGAATTTGGAATGTTATATGGAAAATATAACATTTTATATTTAGATAAATATATCTATATTTAGAGTCGAGTAGGAAATTAATTTGCTTTAGAGTGGTTAAGATTGTAGGAAATTTTAAAGAATTTAATACTTTGATACTGTCAATGCCCCTTAGAAAGGCCAACAACAACACACCTGTAATTGAACAAGTTAAGTTCATTATTCTTTGCAGGGAGGGAGAAACACACCTAGGGGAAAATAGGGCTCTTAGTAAGAGGTTGTTGTTGTTGGATGCAGGCCCATTGGCCCTACCTAATAGCATCCCCATGCAAAGAGAACTGAATGCTGCCCAGTCCTCACCATCCCCAGGATCTATAGCAGACAGGTCCATTGTGAGTAATAGGATTTTCACTGGCTTATTTTTGGAAGTAGATCACAAAGTCTTTCTTCCTAGACTTGATTTGGAAGCTCTGCTAATAACTGGCAACATCATAGCAATGTTGCAAGCTTCTCCTGACTTATGGGTGGTGGCTGTGCATGAAATACATTGGCAAGAGGATATTAGAAAGAACTTACTACAGAATTTAGCCTTTGGTTGGGTGATTTCAGGGAGGATCTAAAGAAGTAGGGGTTTGCTCTGCACGGGATGCTATCAGATAGTAGGGCAAGTCTATGATTGATTAGGTAAAGAAGTATCCTGCCTTCATTTAGCAAAAAAAAAAGGGGGGGGGTGTTTGGTATTTTTTTAGTTGCACACGCTCTTGTTTTTGTCTGTGCTTAGACAAAATCGTGAAGTGGCCTTGCTTTGTCTCATTTTATCATGCCTCAGAGTAGTCATGTCTTAAATTGGCATTCTTTGAGATTGCTTAAGTCTAAGAGAAGAAAAATGTCCTGGCTGTGAGTATCAGACTAGCTTGTACAAATATTGAGGACTCATATCAGTTCTAGATGTTGAGGCTGGCTCTTTCCTTTTTTATTTTTTTTCCCCTTACTCAGTATTTAATTTTTAAGCCAAAATATTTTAAAAGCTATCTTCAGAACAAGAAGACAACCCCTGAATGAATTGAGTAATGGGAACCTCAGCCTACATGATACTGAGATGAGAAGAACTAGATGGTGCCCTGCTATAATTGCTAACCACTAAGAGGATCAAATTGGAGATCCTGGGTAGAGAGGGAGAAAAATGTGGAACAAAATTCAAAATCATAAAAAAAAAAGCAAAAAAACAGGCTTATTGATAGAGTCTGATAGAGCCTGGTGGAACTCATGAGACTATGGTCACTATTTATCCTCGGGCTGGTAATTGAACTTACTCCCGTGGCTTAACTTCCAGCCAAACAATGGACAGGTCTACCAGGTGAACAGTTATACCAGGTAGGTGCATGCCTTAGAATAATTAACCAAAGTAGATTAGAAGGGCAGTATTTGCACAAGGAGATAGCCCAGAGGGCAGGAATGCATAGGAAAGAAAGGCATAGGGAAAAGGTAATCACATGGAGGAAATGGGATGAGAGTTGTTACATTATGGGCAATTACAGTTAATATCATGAAACAAAATGTGAATGAACTGTTGAATGGAAAACAAATTTACTCTGTAAACTTTCACCCAAATCACAATAAAAAACAGACAGACAAAATGTATTAAATACTACAGTGGTTGTCAAAATTTGTTCCAGCCACTGGTGTATCAGTTTGGAAAGCTATTTTCACAGGTCTTCAATATAAGGAGAACAGTAAGAGTATAAAACTATAATTATTGATTTAGAAGGTTAGCTTTTATTCTGATTTTATGGAAGTCCGATTTTTGTTGTTTTTAAATGTTCTTTCATTTGTGGAATAATGGCAAAGATAGATGATACATGTGTATGTAGAGGGGAGGGGATTTTTCATCATCTCCACTTGGAAGAATAAAAATTTGAACCCCATATGCAGGAGCTCTAGTAGCATGGTGCCTAAGGCACTTGACTGCTAACCAGAGGCTGGCAGTTCAAACCCACCAGCCACTCCTCAGAAGGAAGGTTGGGCAATCTACTTCTGTAGTGATACTGCCTCAGAAACCCAAGGAGGGGTTGCTATGAACCGAGTCTGACTCAATGGCACATAACAACAACAACAACGTGCTGGGTACCAGTTAATGTTTACACTGGTCTGAAAAATTCTGGGACTCATTAGCCAAAAGGATCTTTGGAACCTTATAGAAATCTAGTGGCCTCATTCTCTGACAAGAATAAGCAGTTTTTCAATTTGAATCTTTATATGATTAAGTCTTTGTAGCCTTGTGTAGCAGAAAAGATAATTCAGAACTGCTTTTTGATAAATATGAATCATGACGACTGGCTTTCAATTACATACAAAAGTAATTTGATCTGGACCACCTGTTGGAGGCATTTTATCTTGTTTTTGAGGCTTTTCACAATGTGACACATTTCAAGGTCTTACTAAGGCATTCTCCATTATTGAATCTATTTTAAATTTTTTTTATTTTTTAAATTTTTATTCTGATTTGGGTGAAAGTTTACAGAGCAAATTCATTTTCCATACAACAGTTCATACATGTTTTGTTTCATGACATTAACTGCAATTCCCTGAATGTAATAGCTCTCTTCCCACTTCCTCTTCCCTGTGTCCTCCTTTACTATGCATTTCTTCCCCCTGAGTTATCTCCCTGTGCAAATACGGCCCTTCTGTTCTCCCATGATTGATCATTCTAAGGAGTGTATCTACCTGATGTTAATGTTCACCCCATGTGCCAGTTATTTGGCTGGAAGCCACGGAATGATTTCAATTCCAGACCTGAAGGGTAACTAAGGGCCACAGTCTCCAGGGTCTCACCAGCCTCCATCAGACCAGTAAACCTGGTCTTTTTTATGCTTTTTAGTTTTGTTCCACCTTGCTCTCCCACTCTATCCTGGACCTCCTGTATTGATCCCTTTCCAAGTGGTTAACAGTGGTAGCTGGGCACCATCTAGTTCTTCTGGTCTCATAGTCATACAGACTGAGGTTCACATGGTTCACTAGTCCCCTGGACTAGTTGTTTCCATGCATCTGTGGTTTTCTTTTTTTTATATTTTATTTTTAAATTTTTATTGTGATTTGGGTGAAAGTTTACAGAGCAAATTAGTTTTCCATACAGCAGTTCATACACATTTTATTTCATGGCACTGACTGTAATTCCCCACAGTGTAACAGATTTCTTCCCACTTCCTCCCTGTAGTTACCTCTTTCCTGTGTCCTTCTTTCCTATACATTCCTGCCCCCTGAGCTATCTCCCTGTGCAAATACTGCCCCTCTGTTCTCTCATGATTGATCATTCTAAGGAGTGTATCTACCTGATGTAAATGTTCACCCTATGTGCCTATCTTTTGTTTGGCTGGAAGCCACAGGAGTAAGTTTAATTCCAGACCTGAAGGATAACTAGGGGCCGTAGTCTTAGGGGTCTCACCAGGATCCATCAGACCGGTAAACCTGGTATTTTTTCATGATTTTGAGTTTTGTTCCACATTATTCTCCCACTCTATCTAGGACCTCCTACACTGATCCCTTTCTGAGTGGTTAACAGTGGTAGCTGGGCACCATCTACTTCCTCTGGTCTCATGGTCATATAGGCTGAGGTTCTCACGGTCCACTAGTTCCTTGAACTAATTATTTCCATGCATCTTTGGTTTTTTTCATTCTTCTTTGC